GCATTTTTTTATGTTCAACAACTGAGTAAGCATTTCTCTTGAAGTAATAGTTGTATAATATAGTAATGTAATATAGTAATTAAATCGTCAAGACCTGCCCCCCCCCCCCCCACTTTTTTCCCCAACATTACCTTTACTATAAGAAATGTTCATTGAAGGGATAGTTCCCCCCCCCTCCACTTTTTGACCATAGTATAGTGATATCGAGGAATTGTGGGAAAAAAATTGGATTTGAAAGTAACTTGCCTTTGAAAAAGTTGGCCACTAACACCCCCCCCCCCTGTTTTTTGCTTGTCAAAGAATTTCTGGAGCTGAGCCCCCCCCCCCCCCCCCCCACTTTTAAGTTTGTAAGTTTGTGACTACGCCTCTGATCATAATAATCCAACAGAGCCACAAAATTAATATCAGAGCCCAGTGACCAAAGGACCTGAATTACCAAACCCACAATTTGATTTGAAAAAAAAAACAAAATCAAGAGGTCCATTGGCTTATAGGTCACCTGAGTATCATGTAACAACTTTCTAACAACTGAATTTGATTCATGTTTTAAACCAGAGGCCATAAAATTCACAATTTTGAAAAAGGTGCCATTGCTTATCAGAACTATACACTTAGCATGCTTAATTTGGTTACCGGGTACTTAATACCCAGTCAGGTAGATCAGAGTAACAAAGAGAAAATGCATTTCCACTTTATCAGTTGTGCACCCCGTCCCAAGGGAACCGCTGACCCTGGGGCCACATCTTCCAAAGAACCTTATTCGGTAATAACCAATATTTGCCCCCCAAATCAAACTTTGATGGAAGTATATTTAATTAAGTTCTTAATTATATGCTGACTTCAAAGCACTGAATATTTTCATAAGTAATTTATGTACGTAATGACGTCACAAACATGACGTAAATTTCAGTTTTTAATGAATTCTACAGAAAAATGTACATATTTCGTCGATATTTTGGTAAAAGGAGCGCATGTGTGTTCAGGATCAATATTTTGATATAATGTGTAGAATGATAATATCAATGAAATATATATTAATCCTGAACAAACATGCGCTCTATAAATTTAAAAGCTAAAATTGTTGAAATTTTGTCCATTTTGTCCTCTTTCTGAAAAAATTTCTAAAATTGGACTAGTTTGTGACGTCATAAAAACAAAAATTGTGAATAAACTGCTTTGAAACTATAATATGTTCTGTTAATTTATATTTCTCATACAATTTATCAAATTCAGCACATTTCATGAAGTTTTCAAAATGTAACTTTTGTGGGGGCAAGTATATGCAATATACCGCATATAGTTCTTTTGGAAATTTTATAAATTCTATTTTCATCATGTTGTTGATTAATACCAAAGTGCAGATTTCAAAGCATTAAATTATTTTCAGATTCTGTACCCCCACCCCCACCCCCACCCCAAGTACCTCTGTCCCAGGGGCCTGGAAATTAACAATTTTGGAAGAGGCAGATTTCTTCATCAAATATATGTACTAAGATCATTGGCATATTAAATACTCCAGTATACCCAGTGGAGCAATTTAGGAAAATATTTTCAAAGAATTCATGCATTTCACTGTACATGTATAAGCATTAAAGCCCCGCCCTAACACCAGAACCCCCAACCAAGGGGCCATGAAATTCACAATTTTGGAAGAGTCAGCCATATTCAACATAACTATGCACTTGGTTATAGTTTATTTTATGCCCACAAACAGAGAAGAAAAATTTCAAAGAATTTATGCATTTTCACTATATAATCTATATAGCTCTGCCCTAAGCACTAGAACCTCTGCCCTGGGGCCATAAAATTCACAATTTTGGAAGACGCAGTCATGTTCAACTTTACCTATGCACTTGGTTATATAGTTTATTTATTGCCCAGGAGCAGAAAAGAATTTTTAAAAAATAATGCATTTTCTCCATATAATTTATTTAGCCCCACCCTAGCACTAGAACCCCTGACCCTGGGGCCATGAAATTCACAATTTTGGTAGAGGACTCAATGCTGATTACAATCATACCAACAGTTTGACTGCTTGATGTCCAGGAGTAAAGAAGAAGATTTTTAAAGATTGCACTAATTTTAGTGGTTTTGGCCCCACCCACAAGCTCCAGGGGGGGGGGGGCATGAATTTTTTATTCCCCTTTACTGGTAGATGCTATATGCCAAAATTGGTGGAAATTGGTTCAGTGGTTTCTGAGAAGAAGCTGAAAATGTTCAAATGTTTAAAATGCACAACGACAGACGAAAACAGATAGCAATAGGTCACCTGAGTTTACTCAGGTGACCTACAAAACCCTCTTGTTCATTATAAAGTATGTATGTATATAGCAAATACCCATGGACAGAGAAGATTTTTCCCCCAAAGAAATTGATATATATACCGGGTAATTATATTGGAGCTAGTGTATTGGTTCAGAAGAGCCTAGGCCAAACTCCAAATCCCTACATGACTCAGAAATTATGAAATTCAAAATGAAGTTTGTCTGCTGAATGACAAAAAGGGACAAAGAGGAGGATTTTCAAAGAAATATATAATCTATTTCACAAGAAATGAAATTCACAATCCTGGGAGAAGCATCCTTGCTTATACATGTGTGTATTGTATCTATGCACTTAAATTGGTTTGTTTGTTATAAACTCCCAGAAGAAGAGAGGAAGATTTTGAACACACCATGTAATTAACTTAAATATGATGTACCATACTTTAAAACAGCTATGGTGTTCCATAGCCTGGAGTACACTGAATACGCTGAATTTTTTGGATTATTTAGTTTTAATATTTCTTTACTACACAAAAAATTTCTACTTTTCTTCAGCAGTAGGGATAAAGTTTACAGTACTTTCTGAAAATGCAAGGATGCATGTATTAATCAAATGGGTCACGAAATTGGTAGTTTATATTTTATGGGAAATGCTATACTGTAAACATATTACATTTAGCGGTGTATTCTACAATTTTGGCGGAAAGCAGAGTCTAATAATTCAAGTACCTCTCTAAATGTCTTGTATCTTAACTTTTATAACTAGAAAATTCAGATAGCACTAAATCAAATCTACACTAACTTGTTGAAAATTGAATTTCCGCCAAATATCATACATGCCAAATGTAATACATTTATAGTATATAGTAACATTAAATTATAAATTATGATACATGTATTTTGTGCAGAATATATGAACTCCAAATCCATTTCCCCATTTTAAAATTATACTGTGGAAAAGAAAAGTTAACACTAGTTTAAATCTGAGAATAAATTTTTTTTTTAACTTGTAGGCATCAGCTAATAAAAGTGTTAATATTCATTTAAAGAGAGCAACAAAGTTGCATATGGAAATACATGTAATGATTTTGCACTGATCATTTCAGCAAAACACTGCAAGATTATAGAAGATACCAGTGCTAGAAATCATTTGATAATTGATTTTTAAAAAAGTTTGATCAGCTTTGTCTATATTAAATTGGCACTCAGTTTTTTTTTAATACATTCAGTAAATTAATGTCCTTATTTTTAAAACACCAAAACTTCTCCTCTGCTTTTCAGGGCTTGGAACCTTCTGCTTAAAATAACATGCAAATATGTTAATTCAGGCAGACAGCATTAAAAGTTTTGTGCCTTTTTTCAGTTTTCTCTCTCTCTCTCTCTCTCTTTTTTTCTTTCATATTTTTATTTCATCTTTAATTATTTTTTTTTTTCTTTTTCTTTTCTTTTTTCTTTTCTTTTTTTTTTCTTTTCTTTTTTTTCTTTTCTTTTTCTTTTTTTTTCTCTTCTTTTTTTTCTTTTGTTTGTTTTTTTTTTGGCACAAAACTTGCCAATGAGATTAAATAATTTCACATTTACAATTCACAATTTTTACATTAACAACTCACAATTTCACATCAACAATTCATAACTGCATTAAAAACAATCAGAATTTAACATTTCCAAACCATGATTAAAATAACATTCACAAATCACAATTTAACATTTTTACAGGCAAATCACTATTTTACATTTTCAAATACAATACACAATTTTTTATCCATTTCTTTCACTGTACCAGTATATTTGTAGTCACATCAGTATATAATGCATTCAATTTCACAATAAGCTGTTATAACCAAGAGTTGAGTATACAAATTATTACTGCTACAATAGCTGTAGGACAGAATTTACATGTAATCGTTCTAGGAATACCTATGTCATATTTAACAATTATTACATCTGAAACATAAGTAACTTAACTTTATCTAAACAATTCCAATAACTAACTATTATCTCACTGGCATAATAATAACAAGATAATTAAAGACAAAGCAGCCTCCAACTAGTCCCTTTCAGCTTCTCCTCCCCGAGCCAGCCTGGCAACTGTGGCAGCGAAGGAACTTAAGTTCCAACCAGTAATGCCTCAGGGTATCGATAAAGCCCACTTACAACTAACCTTCAACTACTTCATCTGAACAATATGGATATCTAAATCAAGAAAAAAAGAAAAGCGGGGGGTCAGTGTGGGAGGAAGACGGAGTACCCGTAGAGAACCCACGTGTCTGAATGGGCGACCCCATACCCTAACATAATTCAGACACCCTTTACAAAAATATTTTTAAAATAGTCTTTGAAACAAATTGTTACTAGTAAAAATGCATTTACATCGGTGCTTTGAAGATTTGGATTTATAATCCTGCATTAATTAAGTCCTGCTTCTTCTTCATAATACCGGTAATAATAATATCATAAATTTCTATAGCACCCTATATTATAAAAATATCACCCTAAGGCGTTTTTCATAGAATGTACATAAAACATTGCATACATTACTTTAAAAATAATACAAAACAAAGAAAATATTTAATGATTAGACTTATATTGAAAATGTCTTCTTTTGGTAAAAAATAAAAATAAAGATACAGTTGCAATGAATTAAAAATATAATGGTTAAGAAAAACAAATAAAAATCAATAGAATATCATTCTGAAAGTTAATCAAAAGCTAATTTATAAAAATGGGTTTTCAATTGTCTTATAAAACACTGGATTGATTTGGCTTGTCGAATGTGCACCGGGCTGTTCCATAAATGGGCTGCAGAATAGTTGAATTATCTTTCCCCGGTCGCACCCTTGGTAAATTGAGTTGCAAACTTCCGTCCGATCGTAGAGTACGGTTAGTTTTACGGATAGTAATCAGTTCCTGTAAATACTCGGGAGCAAATCCATACACAGCAAGGTAGGTATATACAAGGATTTTATACTTCGGATGGAAC